TTGGGTACACCTGTCCTAGACGGACCCAACCCATGTGTTGAGTCCCCAAAGTCAAAATGCACATGATGCAAACAAGCGTTCCTGCTAGGGATCCAGCATAAGGTATTGTTATACTAGGTTTAAAACCTGGGTTTATTTGTTCTAGACCTGGCTTACCCGAGCGGACAACTCGAGCCGAGAGGGGGCTGCGTACCGGTAACCAAAGGATCATCCGGCTTTGCAACTTGTCCGAACCTCGTCCTATTTGGGATATGACACTAACAGAGAGAAGTCACGACCAGCGTGCACTCCTCAGGAGAGAGAAGAGAGGGGTTTCGTAGCAGTTTATATATACAGTTCAGATAATATCCAGACGATAAAAAAGCAACATTTAGCACATTAGGCCCAAACATGTAACAAAATCAGATAACGCCAAATATAACAATGCATCCAAGCTCGAATTCTGAACCCTGAACCAGAGATTCTGGGTCTAGTCCCCAGCAGAGTCGCCATAGCTGTCACACCTCCCTTTTACCTACACCCCCGTAAAGGGGCATATAAGAGAGTTCTTTCCAACTTAAAGTGACAATCGAAATGGGATTATTTTATTTAAAAATTCAGAGTTACCACTTGGGAATATTTTATGGTGTCCCAAGTCACCGGTTCAAATCTCGAATCGAGGAAAAGATTGACTTTGTTTTACAGTCCGCGAACACAGAAATTTGGGTAAGGAATTCTGTTAACCCGGGAGAAGGTGTTAGGCATTCCCGAGTTCCGTGGTTCTAGCACGGTCGCTCAACTGTTATAATTGGCATATTATCTGATTTTAGTACATGTTTAAACCTATGTGCAAATTTTAACTTAAACCGTTTTTATTCATTTTTTAAAGAAAATTGCAACGTTATTAAAATACGTCTCGAACCACGTCACATAAATGCACCCGTGATTTTGACATATTTTAACATCGTTGTGATTTGGATTTGGGTCACATAAATGAGCACCCGAATTTAAGAATGTAATATTATTAAATTAACGCGCCTAAAGCAATTACGAATTTGCAACTTTGCGAGTGCCATGGAAAATTCGCTAAATCGCGCGCCTTGATTTCTAAAAAATAAACAAGTTAATTAAACGAGGGCCGTGCATTTAAGACTTTTATTTGTCACGGCACACCTCGAATTTTCATACAAAATGTGTGCCAAGAAACCAATAACGAGCATCACCAAGCAAAACAGAGTTGAGTCACTGAAACTTGATACACGAACTTCAAACAAGAATAATAGGGAATTGTGGCAAAAAAAAAAATAATGGCACACCAATTGATCTCCAATTTTCTCACTACTGCACATTCAACTAATAGCAAATAATAAGCTAAGAACTATGAGCTGCTAATTTACATGTAAGACACCGTACAACTTAACACATTAAATACTAAAAATAAGTAATCCAGTAAGCTAAATACAATGCTAAATGAAAACAAGGAAGATAAATTTCTTATCACCTCAGTTTAATATACATCCAATGATGAGTTCAAAACAGTAGCACCTAAAGTTAATTTAAAACCCAAACTTTGATTCATGAGCTTCAACCAAATGATAACAAACTTAAATATACTCCAAAAGAACAATCGGCACATGTTGTACATTTGTTTAAGCTAAAGCAAAAGCTAAAGCTAAAGTTAAAGTTAAAGCAAAAGCAAAAGCAAAAGGGTACTATTATTTTAGTCGCTTTTAATATTTCGGAAAAAATTCAAAGTTATTTAAAACACATCGTAAGCCACGCTACATAAATGCACCCGCGATCCACAATATATTTTATCTAACGTTGAGATTTGGATTTGGGTCACATAAATGCGCACCCGAGTTTAGGAAGGTAAATTATTAAATAGCACGCCTAAAGCAACTACGCGTCTTTAAATTTGCGAGGGCCATGGAAATTCAACTAAATGGCACGCCTCGAATTCTAAGGATTCACATGTTAATTAAATGAGGGCCATGCATTTGAGATTTTATTTGGCACTCAAGTCTAGCTAATTGAAACCATGGTACCACCAGCTTCACTCTCAGCGGATACAACACCTAGCTAACTTTTATTTTTAAGGTAATTCTAGAGCCTACATTTTATAGAAACTCTCACATGTACTGAACAACTGAACCTAATGCATAACACTTAAACCGCGTGAAATCAGTCATAATTGATAAAAACCTTAACATGACGAAACCCAACAAATAATAGTGCTTCTGCTGCAAAATTGTTTATTCCAAAATGACAATACAACTAATAATCTAGTAATAAATAATCAAGACATAACAATATAAAATTAAAAGATAACAAATATATTACAACTACTAAATTTTACAAAGGCAAGATGTTAAAGCTAGAAAACAAAACTGATCCAAACGAAAATGTAACAAGAATACTCACGTTTACAGCAACATCGAGTTTCAGCAGCTCGAGCTCGACGGAAAAAATGGACAGTGATAACCATAGACCGGAACCAACGTACGACAACTTCCTCACGACTCGAACTCATAAACGACTCCAAACTTCAGCTGCCTTACGCTCGTTCCCTCACTCCGTTCATGTGCGTGACTGTGTGTGCGAAGGTGAAGCTCGCCGGTTATGGCGTCGTTGGCAGAAGGTCCGGCGGGTCAAGGTCGACGAAAATGGGTAGTGGGGTCTGGTTGTTGGGTGTTGCGACTATTTTCNCAAATTTGATTTTCTTATTTACACCCATTTCCTTCTTTTTCAAATCATTTTCTCTTTCTTACAAACTAACAACCAAAATAGCAACATAAGCAATGACAAACCTAAAAACTTGAAATTGCTACTCATTTTAATCTTTAATTAGACACTCTTTAAAAAGAACAATCTAAAATTAAAAGAAGGCATATTTTATAATAATTTTCTTGGCCAACAAGTACGGAACTGTACTAAACTCTTTTGTGATTTTCAATTTATATATAGCTAGACAGAATGCCAGCTGCTAAAAATATATATATTTTTTTTTTGTATTTTTATTTCTAATAAAAAAAGAAAGTAAAAAAAAAATTAAAATAGTTAAAATAGCATTGTTAGACCTAAAACCAATATACAAGTAGTAAATGATGTAAAATTTTGGGGAGGGCTAAAATTACATGTCTACACCAATGATACGCTTGTAGCCGTTTTCAAGAAAATGGAGGAGATGGAAAATGAGAATAAGGCACTCCGTGACCAAATGAAGGAACACCAAGAGAGAGTTGACAAAATACCAGGCGCTCCAAAGTTGATACCAAAATGCGATGTTGGTCGATTCATCGAGCAACCATATAGTGAAGAAGAGTCCCCCTACACCATTCCAAAGACCTTCAAAATGCCGCCCTACTTAAAGATATATGATGGTACTACCGATCCAGAAGACCACATCATCCACTACGTTACAGCCGTAAATGGTAACAATCTCTCAAAAGAGCAGGTACCATCGGTGCTATTGAAAAAGTTTGGCAAAACCTTAACAGAGCCTTGACATGGTACTCTCAACTACCAGCATTCTTGATAGCAACATTCGAGGAAATGGCAGAAAAATTCGTCATCGCCCATACAGGAGCCAAAAAGGCAAAAGGCAGAGGCTAGGGTAAATGATATATTTGTTGTAAGACAGATGCACGGCGAGGGACTCAGGGACTTCTTCGCTCGGTTTAACAGGGTACGAATGATCTTGCCAAATATGTCAGAAGGAATGGCAGTATCAGCCTTCCAGAATGAATTAAACAGAATCGAGCCGAGAGAGACCAGAAAATTGCTAAGCAGGCTCATGAAATACCCTCCAACTACTTGGGAAGAAATCCATAATGCCTACTACGCCGAGGTACGAGCTGACGAGGACGATCTAAATGGACCGACCCAATGGTTGACATCACTTCAAACCGAAGCCAAGAAAGATCGTCGCAATGACGGTCGAAGAGATTAGTTGGGGTCCCACCCCAGTCGGGAAAGGCATCAACCCTACGTCAAGACGTCTTCCCCGCCTCCACTACGGCGCACAGATGCTCCTCCTCGACATATGACACCATATCGACACGAGAAAGGTATGCCTCCACTCCTATCCACTCACAATTTTTATGTGTCTTCTTCAGAAATAGTGTACGCCCTAGAGAAACTTGGTCCAAAGGTGCAATGGTCGCAAAAGATGAGGTCAGACCCCAGCACTCGGAAGTCAAGCGCTTTCTGTGAATTTCACCAAGAAAGGGGTCATAAAACCAAAGATTACATAGGACTGCGACATGAAGTAGTACGAATGCTAAACCAGGGTCACCTAAAGGAGCTGCTGAGCGATCGAGGGCGGACTAACTTCGCCCGCGGACGCGAACAACCCCAAGGACCTCCAAAATCTCCTTCTCCCGCTCGCACCATACAGATGATCATCGGCGGGGGCGATGGCGCAGCGATCAATCATGTCAAGTTCACCACCACACATAAACTCAAACGATCAATCACCCACAACGGTATGATGACCTCGAAGACAGTATCATCTTCGATAAGTCAGATGCCGACAGTTTGTCTTTCCCTCACTATGATGCTCTTGTTATCACTTTACGTATCTCGGATACTGATGTAAAAGAATAATGGTAGATGACAGGAGCAGCGCGTGTATTATCCTTCCTCGAGTCCTTGTGCAGATGAGACTCGAAGATAAAATAATACCGTGTTGTATAACGCTAACATGTTTTAATAATGCAGTATAACGGACTTCTGGAGAGATAGTGCTACTCGTACTGACCGGAGGACTCACCCTAGAAATGACATTTCATGTCATGAACCAGGAAATAGCTTACAACTCCATCATAGGGCGCCCGTGGATACATGTCATTCGAGAGGTCCCTTCCAGTCTCTATCAAGTGATCAAGTTTCCTACCTCATAGGGAATATTCAACATTCGAGGGGAGCAACACACCGCACAAGAATGCTTTCGCATCGCCCAATATTGTACATACACCCAACAACTCAAAGGAGCAAATGTGGAAGCATAACAATCAGCGATGTCGGGTGCCAAACTTGACGTGCGAACAGACGTTATCAAGGACCCCGACATCGTGGAAGCATCTGAATCAACGATAGAAAATCTTGATCCCATCTTGCTAGATGGCAACAACAGCACAAAAAAGGCTTATATCAGGCACAACCTCTCGGAACCAGGTAAGTTTCATAAGTTCTTGACTGACCATGCCGATCTGTATGCCTTATCCCATGCATATATTCCACGCATCCCAAAATATACCGCCACCCACAAGTTAAACGTCGACCCCTCTACCCATCAGTGCGGAAAATTAGAAGGAACTTCAATGCCGCAATCAACGAAGCCGTCAGCGAAGAGGTCAATAAGCTGCTCGCAAATGGCTCCGTCCGGGAATCGAAATATGCTCAATGGGTCGCCAATGTGGTCATGGTGAAAAAGAAAAATGGAAAGTGGCCGATGTGTGTAGATTTCACAGACCTAAACAAGGCATGTCCGAAAGATTCTTTTCCATTGCCACATATTGACCAGCTCATCGACGCAACAACAGGACATGAGTTGCTAAGCTTCGTGGATGCCTATTCGGGTTACAATCAAATCCTCATGGAAGAAGAAGACCAGGAGAAAACCACTTTCATCACTCACCAATGAACATACTGCTATAATGTGATGTCGTTCGGACTAAAGAATGTAGGGGCGACATATCCGAGATTGGTCACCAAAATGTTCAAAAACCAACTCGGTAAAACAATGGAAGTCTACTCGACGATATGCTAGTTAAGTCGAAAAGGAAAGAAGATCATATCGGTCATCTGAAGTAAGCCTTCGACATATTAAGACGGTACGACATGAAACTAAACCCCAAAAAATGCGCCTTCGGCATAAGCTCGGGAAAGTTCCTCGGTTTCCTAATGTCACAAAGAGGCATTGAGGTTAACCCATAATAGATTAAGGCCATCGAAGGAATACCCGAAACACTGACCAGCAAAAAACAGGTACAAAAATTGACGGGACGGATAGCTGCCCTGTCGAGGTTCATCTCATGGTCATCGGATAGATGCCATAAATTCTTTAATGTATTAAGGAAAGACAATGGGCTCCAGTGGAATGCAGAATGCGTCGATGCCCTAAGGAAACTAAAAGTGTACTTGTCTTCGCCACCCTTACTCGCCAAAGTAGACCCAGGCGAGTGCCTCATAGTCTACCTAGCCATATTTGAAGTCGCGGTAAATGCAGTTCTAGTCCGAGAAAACCAAGGTACACAATCTCCAATTTACTATATTAGAAAAACCTTAATTGACGCCGAAACAAGGTATCCTCACCTTGAAAAACTGGCTTTGGCGCTAGTCGTAGCTTCATGAAAGCTTAGACCATATTTTTCGTGCCACCCCATAAAGGTGGTGACAACCTTTCCTCTCAGGAGTATCCTTCACAAACCCGAATTATCGGGTTGGCTGGCCAAATGGGCCATAGAAATAAGCGAGCACGATATAACATATCAACCGCAAACCGCAATAAAGTCGCAAGTGCTCACCGACTTCGTTGCCGATTTTAGCGCAGAGATACTGCCCGAAGTCGAGCAAGAAGCGCTTTGCACTTCATCTGAGCGATCCGACCTATGGGTCCTCTACACCGATGGCGCGTCCAATGTGTTGGGATCGAGACTGGGACTCGTACTCGAAGTCCCAATGGGCGAAGTGATTCGTCAATCCGTACAATGCCCTAAAATGACTAACAATGAGGCCGAGTATGAGACCGTAATCGCAGGATTAAAATGCCCTCAAGTATGGTGCTCAGTGGGTAATCATCCGCTGCGACTCTCAACGCGTTGTGAATCAAGTTACTAGGACTTTCCAAATTAAGGAGCAAAGGTTATAGAAATACCAAACCGAAATCCACAAACTGCTGCCAGAATTTGACGAATGCTGATTCAACCAAATACCCCGAGCACAAACCATCGAAGCAGACGGTCTCGCCAAGCTGGCCGCAGCAACTAAAAACATCACCAAGGAGAACATGGTCACCTTCCTCCACTCATCAATAGACCAAGTCGAGGTATATTCTATAAATTTACCTTGGGACTAGCGTAATCGCATCATATCATATCTACAAGAAGGAACACTCCCACAAGATAAAAAAGAAGCCAAAAAGCTCTAAATACAAGCGGCCAAATACAGTCTCATAAACCACGACCTTTACAAAAGGACGTTCGGCGGCCCGTTAGCCAAATGCCTCGGACCAAATTAGATAAGGCGTGTGCTCGAAGAGGTAAACGAAGGCTACTGTGGCACCCATACCAGCAACCGAGCTCTCGTTAGGTGTCTTATTCATGCAGGAGACTACTGGCCCACTATGAAAAAAGTGGTTGCGGAGTACGTCAAGAAATGTGAGTAATGCCAGAAATACGCCCCTATGATACACCAGGCGGGGGAACTCCTACATTCCATCACCTCTCCATGGACATTTATAAAATGGGGGATGGATATCGTCGGGCCTCTCCCAGCAGGGTGAGGTAAGATACGCTTCCTTTTGGTTGTAACTGACTATTTTTCCAAATGGGTGGAAGTTCAAATACGTGAACAAGAAGTCATCGCGTTCATCTGGAAAAAACATCATATGTCGCTTCGGCATCCCCAAAGAAATCAGTTGCGACAACGGACCGCAGTTTGTCAGGAAAAAGATGACTGAGTTCTTCGAAAAATGGCATATCAAGTGGATACTCTCTATGCCATATCATCCTGCTAGCAACGGTCAAGCGGAATCCTCCAATAAAACAATATTAAACATATTAAAGAAAAAGCTTTAAGATGCCAAAGGGCTATGGCCGGAACTGCTACCGGAGGTGCTATGGGCCTACCGCACAAGACCGAAGACCAGCACATGTGAGATGCCATATTCACTGGTCTACGACACCGATGCAGTCATACCCATTGAGGTCGGGGAACCTAGCCCGAGATACTCCAATGAAAGTGGATCAAGCAACGATGAAAGCAGGTTACAAGACCTGGATGAGGTCGAAGAACGAAGGGATATGGCACACATAAGAATGGTGGACCAAAAACAAGCAGAAAGGTACTATACCAAGAAGGCCAAAGTACGACCACTCAGAGTCGGGGACTACATACTAAAGGCCAATTAAGCAAGCAGCGAAGGACCCGAATGAAGGGAAACTAGGAACAGATTGGGACGGGCCGTACAAAATCACAGCAGCAGCAAGTAAAGGAGCATTCCAACTAGAAACAATGGAAGGAAAACTATTACAAAATAATTGGAATGTCGCCCACCTCAAGAACTTACACTTTTGAAAAAAGATGCCGACCAAGTCATACTCTTTTTCCCTAGCCCGGGTTTTGTCCCAATCGGGTTTTCTTGGGGAGGTTTTTAATGAGGCGACGAGGGGGACGTCTCAAGGTTCGAAGTATTGTTCATTGCCCCACCTACCGATTACATCTCCAGGCCGAGCAATTAAGGGACTAGATATAATGTCCATTACATGTACGAAATCAACATGTATATCTGACATATGAATAAAATCACTCCATTATGTGTATGAAATCAACACGCATCTCCAATGTATGAATGAAACTGGCATCCACGATACTCCAACAAATAAAATAGAATGCCACATTCATGACGAGATATTACTTTGGCGCCAGCTCGAAAGTAACATCCCAATGGCTAAGGGCATCGACAGAAAAATGAGTTTGACATCACTCGAACCACGACGGGATATTACTTCTATGCCAGCTCGAAAGTAACATCCCAATGGCTAAGGCCATCGACAAAAACAAATGAGTTCGACATCACTCGAACCACGAAGGGATATTACTTCGGTGTCAGCTCGAAAGTAACATCCCAATGGCTAAGTCCATCGACAAAAAAAATGAGTTCGATATCACTCGAACCATGACAGGATATTACTTCGATGCCAGCTCGAAAGTAACATCCCAATGGCTAAGGCCATCGACAAAACAAAATGAGTTTGACATCACTCGAACCACGATGGAATATTACTTCGGCGCCAGCTCGAAAGTAACATCCCAATGGCTAAGGTCAACGACAAAAAAAAAGAGTTCGACATCACTCAAACCACGACGGGATATTACTTCATCGCCAGCTCAAAAGTAACATCCCAATGGCTAAGGGCATAGATAAAAAAAAACGAGTTCGACATCAGTCGAACCACAACGGGATATTACTTTGGCGCCATCTCAAAAGTAACATCCCAATGCCTAAGGCCATCGACAAAAAAATGAGTTCGATATCACTCAAAGCACGACGGGATATTACTTCGACAGCATCTCGAAAGTAACATCCCAATGGGTAAGGCCATCGACAAAAAAAATGAGTTCGATATCACTCAAACCACGATGGGATATTACTTCGCGCTAGCTCGAAAGTAACATCCTAATGGCTAAGGGCATCGACAAAAAAAATGATGAGTTCAATAACACTCGTATGACAAAGGAATATTACTTTGGCACCAGCTCGAAAGTAACATCCCAATGGTCAAGGCCATCGTCAGAAAAAATAGTTCGACTTCATTCAAACCATGACAGAGCATTATTTCTGCACCAACTCGAAAGTAATATCCCTACGACTAAGGCCGTTGCTAATGAAAAGAGCTCAAACTAAACTCAATACAATATGTTTAGCATTTCAACAAAATGTCGGAGTGACATAACTGCGGCAGAGTGATCGTCAAACAAACCAAAGAAAGGAAACGACTCAGAGATGTACGACCAAAACGACCTTCATTTATAGAAAATATGTTACAAAAATTTATCTTTACAAAGGGCTCAAAGATGCCCTTACAAAAATCGCGAAGCCAAAAAGTAAGTGCAAAACAAATACTACACATCATTTCCGGTGGCATACACGTCTTCGTACCAAGAGTCGGAGGCAAGCACGAGCCTTGGTGCGTACATCTCGAAGCTACACTTTGGACGCCCTCCCATCAACATGAAGAGCCTTGTACACATCAAGCTAAGCCTCGGCATGAACCCACAACTCATATAAATGTCGAGGCACGACAGGATCAGCTGGAGCAAAAGATGTAGAAGGTTGCGACTGTCGTCATACGTCCTCTACTTTCAATAAATCCACTTGCTTGTTCAATGCGGACAGTTCCACCTCCAACCTTTGAATACGCCCCTCAAGTTCCGATGTTTTAAGCGCAGTCGACTCCATCTCCTTAATCCGCTCTAACCTTCAAACACGGAGGGCGTCTTCTGAAACCACCGCCTCAGAAATGGTAGTCGCCCTCTCCCTCTCAACATGGGCCAATCTATCAGCATTCACACTCAACTCACCCTTAAGCTCATTGACCTCAGTCGTCTTCATATCCAGTTCGGTAGTTAAACTGGCTACCTTTGCTTGAAGGTCGGCATTTTCGGCCACTACTCCCCTACTTAGCTCGAGATCATCTTCCCTGGCTCTAAGGGCTTCCTCAAGCTCACTGCTACGGGCAACGGCCTTCATAAAGTCCTTATCTTGTTCCTTCAACTCCTCGACCTTACGCTCCAGTTGATCATCCTTCTGCTTGAGCCCTTCACGGAACAGTTGGAAGTCGCGAACCTGAGTATAGATATTGACCATTGCACGATGCTTGATGTGATATTCTTGGTACTTGGAAGACATATTTCCATAGATGGCCGTCCTCCTCCTTTCACGACGCTCACGCTCGATCTCCATGATGAGGGTCTAGCACGAGAAGCAAAGTTAGAACAAATGAGCCAAAAATAGTAACGCAGATCCAACGACGAAATAAAAATAAAGACATTTACCCGTAGAGCCATTCCAGAAACACTCCGGCACAACTCTACATCACTCGTCGCTTTAAGTGCCTCGCTCTCAGGGGCAGAACACAAAGGGGCAAAAATGGATGCAACCTGATCACTGTCCGACAATAAGTCGTAGTCCCCAAGAACGACTATGTGTTGATCAGAACCCTCCATTATGACCTCTACGTGAGTGTGATGCTAAAAAAACTCACAAATATCCCCTGGGTCGATGTCAGAGCCCAAGCCGTCGCCCTCGGCGAGTAAACTCTCGCGGACAATGGATGATGCACCACCCTCGGCGGAGCGCGCAGACCCCTTCCTTGATAAACCCCTTCTGTTTGGGGAGACCTCCCCGCCAAGGTGGCGTAGGCCATAAACGTGGGCACCGGTGCCGTCTCCAATGCACCCGTCCTACGCTTACAAGTATCAACGACCACGCTCTTTCCGAGCTCTATCTTCAACGAAGATTTGTCCCCATTAGAGGACTCATCCACGAGGTGATAGATTGGTAAAGAAAGGATCTCCCCCCTCACAACCATATCCCGAGAGGGGTCCCTCACCTGTATCGACTGAGCATGACCCTCTCGGGCAGACTCATCTAAAGTGAATTGCATTCATGCGGAGGCAACAGCCTGACAAAATGCAGGGACTGGGGCCCTCCTCCTAGAAGCCCCGCGACTTGTTATCATAAAGAGTCGTATCAATAGACGGTGTTATATAGCCAAAGAGTGATACAGAGGAAGACACTTACCAGATGAAACTTTCGCCCCAAAATATTTCATGAAAGCGAGCCAGTCTCGAGTCTCCGCTGCATGGGGCAGAAGATGGGCTACCCAATCCCTTACACCTGCAATGGGATGGGGTGGGCGCCCCATAGCTGCAAAAGAGAGCCGCAAATAAACACTGAGGTGAATGAAGTAGAAAAGAAAGAGTAAACAAGTGGCGACACTTACGATTCTCGTTCCATCACTCCATGAATCTAGCGGGGTCAGACACGATGTATTCAGTTCTGACGAAGAAGTACTTATGTAAAATATGCGACTCGCCCGATCATCGGTTCCGATCACCAGCCCTTTTGTCCCACGATGCCTCAGATGCACATAGTGCCCCTATGATATCTAGGTGAAAACGAGTGTAGGAGGTGGTGAACGATAACTTTGCATCCCGCCAACTCTGCATATTTTGTCAACAACAGGAGTATTTTGAGCGTGTACAGGGAAAGTTGCGCCGGGCAAACCTGATAAAATCGGTAGAATTCTTCCGCTAATGGGAGAAGGGGGAAGGAATGACCAATCACAAAGGGATACTCATAAAAAGCACAAAACCCCGGTCTGTGGACTTCCACGAAATCCTTTCCCGCTGGAACCATCTCAATATGAGCGGGAATATTATATTTTGCACGGAGGGCATCGATATAGACTTGCTCAGTTTCGGAGAATACTGAGGCGGGAGTAGGAGGAGGATTTTTAAGAAAGTCGCTTCGAGACATAGGGTGTCTCGGCAGTAACTCCTCCACGGTGGGAAAGCTATCCCCTTCTTCCACCATCTTGTCCTCACCACCAGAGGGGAGCGCCATGGATAACGGGGTGGGGTCAGAAACCCCCTCACGAGATCGGTGTGTTCTAGGCATCTATATGGTGGAAAATGTGTTAATGTAACAGAAAAAGCTAAGAACGGAGAATGGAAGAGAGAAAGCAAAGAAATCATTGGAGCAAACACGGGAGGGATAAGAAATAATAACCACAGACGAAATGGCCAAGAGTTTTTGAAAAAAACCCTCCACCTATTTATAGGATTGGGTGGCGCCAGAATCGAAGCGGAAGGATGCAAAATGGCATCGAAATCGAAGCGACAAACCATCAGCCCCTGTCTCGATAACACGCATAATGATGACGCACGTGGAAGTGATGTCATTGCCTGATAAGACACACCACCCAGGGTATCGTTGGGCATGCTAATCTTCTGTTGTTAGCCAAACCATGGCGATTCGTAAAACCAAATTTCTCCACAGGTGTGGGCGATGTCCGCTTATCGAGGACGCACCAAGCCACGACCTCGACAAACTGAGGGACTAACTGTATAGGTCCAAATTTGGACGACCATGGCCACTGACGAATACGACAAGAGACGAGATCTTCGCGACACGATGTCCTGTGGCCATTGTAGCGACAAGCGACAGCGGTTAAAGGACGCATGACCTTTGCAGTAGTATAGGCCCAACAGGAGTCAGTAGGAATATACTTTCGAATATTCTCTATGATATGTCTTTTAGGGTTCAGGAGGGGATTGTCCTTTATATATAGCGAGTAAAAACCCTTGTAAAGGCGGGAGGAACTTTTGGCTATGAACACCTATT